AGTGGGAGTGCAAACTAGTACAACCTCTGTGGAAAACAGTATGGTGATTCCTAAAAGCTCTAAATATTGACCTCCCATATGACCCCGCAATCCCCCTACTGGGAATATACCCTGAAGAACTCAAATCACTCTATCAAAAAGATACCTGCACACATATGTTTATCGCAGCACTGTTCACAATAGCAAGAACCTGGAAGCAACCATGCTGCCCATCAAAAGAGGACTGGATTTTAAAAATGTGGTATATATACAGGATGGAATACTATGCAGTCATAAAAAACAAAATCATGAATTTTGCAGCAACCTGGATGGTACTAGAGTCTATAATACTGAGTGACCTCTCACAGAAACAAAGATCTGAGTATCACATGTTCTCACTTATATAATGGACCTTGAATATCCAATGTAATACCATAAGAAAATGATTGACAGTGGTGGGAAACTATGGGGGAGAAGGGAAGGGAGGTGGGATTAACGGTAGTAAATATCTGTCTGGGGATGGGGAGACACCTCTTATCAACAAGGGTGCCTGAACGAAGCATATTTGTTCACCTAACCCTTAACTGTACCCCACAATACCATAATAAAAAATATTGATAAAAAAATTAATTAAAAAAAAGGTGACAAATATAACTGAGTATTTAATCCAGCTGTAATCTAGACAGAGCAAAAGCAAAACTGGAATGCTGTTTCCCAGCATCTGGGCTTGCAACTCACACACTCATGGCTCAAGGGCTCTCCTCTGCTGTCCACATGTGTCCATTCCAGCCTCTCCCTTGCATGCTGCACTTCCAACCAAACATTTCTCACATGGGCAGCCTCCATGCACCTCAGATTCCATAATATAAAATCAAATTAATTTCTCCAAGCATGCTCTTTCTCAATCTGTGTTCTGTGTCTCAAATGAAGACTCCACAGCTTGCTCAATTCGTAGCCTAGCAAAAGGCCCTTCCCTGGTTCTAGCTATCATTACCTTCATCTTCAACCTCAGTTCCACAGCTGTTTCCTTCTGGTTCCATCACTACTCCCCTAGTCATAGTTGATATGCACGCCCAACAGTGATAATCCTCTGCTTAAAATAATTTTCACTGTCTGCAGAATAAAACCCAAACTCCTTGGTCAGTCTCTCCAGGTCCTGCACAATCTGCTGCAGTTGTACCACAGCTCTTTCCCGTTTCATGTATTTGTCCTTCAACCTGGTAAAATTTTATCTACTTAGTCCAACAGATATCTCTACTATAAAAAACAAAAACAAGTTTTCCTCTAATACAACCAAATCAATGAGACTTCTATTTTCTCTAGAACTAGGACTTCATCTTACTGTATGTTGTAAATCCCGCACCAAGTGTAGTGTTGGACATCTGACAGGTGCTTACAAAATGTTTCATGAACTAAATCCAAATATCAACACAACCTAAAATTACAGAAGCTTTTAAAAATGTTGCAGTCATCCTTGTGGTCAACTAGGATTTTCACCCATTATGTTTTCACCTGAAGTATAAACATCAGCTCTCCCTATCCTATAGTTGTAGGTGATTTCTTTTGTGAAGTCAAGTGATAACCTAACTGCTAATAGTCAATGTCTGAGTTCCTCTGAGTTTCAGTCTGAACATGACAGTTTAGAAGGCAGTCTCTGAAGCCAGATATTTCTATTTAAACACCAATCTACATTCTACTAGATCTTAGGCATGTACTTATACCTCTAAAACTTTTTACACTCCGTAAAACTGAAATAAATAAATTACTACGAAGATGGTTGTAAAAATTAATTGGGGTAATCTAGGGAAAACATTGTACATAATATCTAGCACAATAACTGCCCTATAACAGTTATCCTTGAATATAATTATCATCCATACGTCCCCATGCTTACATGCATATTTATTATAAATAAAACTCCAC